CTGTCTCAGAAAAGAGAACTTTGGCACAAGCACTAGACATTTGCTAGGAATTAGATGCTGACAGTGAGCATCGGAATGTCCCGGTTTTCCTGCCTGTGAAAACAGAAAATGCCGTCTCTGATGCAGGATTGTTAAGAGGATAAATACATTGATATTAGCGCAGTACTTGAAATATTTATGTCCTGGTCTTGCAAGGTGTTTATACGCTGGTGGTCTGCACCAGATCCTGGGAAGGTCACAGAAAAATGTTTGTGGCCCCTGGGGATGTGCGAGGGAAGAACCAAGCATTGCTGCGCTGGTGGGAGTTTTGTTCTTACCCCATCCCAGGCCAGTCCTAACACTGAGTACCCTTCTGTGGTATGTGAAAGAAGGGAGAGATTTAGCTTTGTACAATAATGCCATAATTTCAGAGTGAACTTTTCAGTAAAGTAATTTATATGTCTCATTTAAACCCTTCTCTTCAGCTTCATGCCTGAGAAGTCTCTCTGCATTTTTTTCTAATAGTCAAGAGGAGTTCTTAAATGACAACCTGGGTAATAGTGACTATTATTAGAAGATTAAGGCAGCCAAATTGAGTACACTCTAGAGAGACTTCTGATCCCAGCTTTGCGCACTTCTTTCCATATAAAACTCTGACAGCAGACCTTTGAAGAAGTGCTGGCAGTGTGCTTGGGAAGGGGGGGTCTGAAATACCGCTGCAGCTCTCGGCCAGTTACTCTGCGACCTCTTTCCAACCCTGATGCCGCAGTGTGAACACTCAGGTTCTCCCCAAATATCCTCAGAAAGGCGAAGATGAGCAGCGAGTCCCTCTCGTGCGTGGTTCGCCCTGAGCTTGCCCCTGGGAGCTTCCCTGCGGCCGCCCCAGGGCGAGGGGCCCCGCAGCCCCCCGCGCCGGCTCTCGGCACCCTGCTCAAAAGGCTGCACCGAGCATCTGATGGAGGAGGGGGAGACGAGATGATTTCTTCTGCTTCTGTCACTCCGAGAGGGCTGGTTTAGAGGGAAATAGACTGCAAACAGATTTCTGAAGGGGGAAAAAAAAAAATAAAGTGCTTTGTGCTACCAGTTACTAATGCATTAAATGTCACAGCGGGGTTACATTTTACTCGAAGCATAAAACTAGGGTAGAAATGTCTTATTAAACATTGAAAATACGCCCCTCTACCTCCAGCAACGACTCCATTTAAACCCCCTGTGCTTGAACCCTTGTGACTTGCTAAATGACAAAGGTTGTACGTATTGCTTAAAATATAGATGTATATACTTACAGATCATGATCCCGACTGCTTACAAAACTTTGAAAGTAGAAACAAGACAAAATACAAGTTACGTTCAGGTGGCATTGTTTTTTTAGACAAAACTATCTACTACAAAAGGACGATGCCGGTTGATGTGCGAGCTATCAGGTAAGCAAGCTTTGGCAGTAAAGAGCAAGTGCGTGCCGTGGTGCTGAGCCTCCCTTCCCACACGCCGCGGTGCTGAGCCTCCCTTCCCACACGCCGCGGTGCTGAGCCTCCTTCCCACACGCCGCGGTGCTGAGCCTCCTTCCCACACGCCGCGGTGCTGAGCCTCCTTCCCACACGCCGCGGTGCTGAGCCTCCTTCCCACACGCCGCGGTGCTGAGCCTCCTTCCCACACGCCGCGGTGCTGAGCCTCCTTCACGCGCGCCCGTGACGCCCCGCGCTCCCTCGCACCCCCGGCCGTGCCGGCGCGGTGCCCTCAGCCCGGCCCAGGCAAAAGGGAGCGGAGGTTTTGGGGCGAGCGGTGGGGCTGAGCCGTGTTTCGGGGCTGACTCGCGTTGCGCTCTGGGCTGGTCGGCTCCCTGCGCTGGCAGAGGTCAGAGCGGAGGGGCTGTTGTTTTGGTTGGCACGGTGAATATTTAATTCGGGTTGCTATTGAAAGGGTTGCTTTGACAGGGACTTCGTATAGTGCCATCTCAAGAGTTAGTACTTCATGGCGGGATTTTTTTTTTTGTTCTGGAATTCTCATCATCAAACTAAATTTAGTCATGTAGAAATCAATAAATTACCGCCAACTTTAACATAAGGGCAGAGTTAGGTCAATATTACATGTTTTTGAACAAACTTACTCGTGGTATTCAGGCTCTTCTCCTCTTTAGTTAGGAATGACATGACGAGAAACTTTCCACTGCTTTAAATGTTAAAGAATCTCTGAAAATATTTAGAAACAATCAATTCAAAATGTTCTATGGTTCGGGTTTTGATTTTTTTGTTTTTTTTCTGAAGTACAGTATGTTCTTCTGCAGATTTTCATCCAGTCTACATGCTCATGTCCCAGAGGCTTGTTTCCATGGTGCATTTGTATTTCTATCAGAGAGTACATCCAGTGACACATACGTATGAGAGGCAGAGCCTGGTGGAGTATTTTGTTTGAAGAGTGATTTACTGAGGGCAGCTGAAGAGGAGCCGTTTGTCTGTCAGAGCAGAGAGAAAACAACCAGTTCTGTAAGCAGCACTGGGGCTGGAGCCGCCTTTGGGAACAAGCAATTTTTACATTATTAAGTTGTGCACAAACAGCTGGGAACTATGTAAAATGCCACTTAAATCTCCTCTTTGTCTCAACAGTACTTAGGAAAATAAGTAGCTTTTGGAGATTTGCTTCATGTTGGGCTATTCCATCTCCTACTAAGCTCTTCCATACATTTCTGCTAACCAAACAGGGCAATAAGCTTACAGAAATGCAGGTTGGTAAAAACTGCTATTTTAATTTAAACGGATATTTCAGGGGGTCGGGAGGAGAGTATATGTTCTCTGTTTTGGTGTTCTGTGCATAACAACAAGTTGTGGCTTGGTGGCTCAGCAAAATAAACCAGCTTAGTACTGCTACACCGGAGGGAGTCCAAAGCGCCAGTCAAACAGCGGGAAGCATTCCTACGGAGGAGGAGAAATGTCCTCGCTCCGCAGGAGCCCTGGGGTGGAACTCTGCTCCCGGGGAGCCGGGGAGTTTTGCCTGACCGAACTGCCGCGGCAGCCCGGTACGGCTGGAGGGGGGCCCGGGGGTCCCAGTGCCGCCCCCCGGGATGGGACGGCGCCCAGGCCCGTGCCCCGCGGGGAAGATGCTCACGCACGGCCACGCTCTGAGCTGCCGAGGCCGGGGGAGGCCTCCCCGGCTCCGCGGGACAGAGCTCCAACCGCAGCCTCCTCTCCTGCCTCCAAACACCACCAGCCCCTCTGGTGGGGCGAGGCCCCGGCTGCGGCGCCCCCAGCCCTGTCCCTGCACCCCGTCCTGCCTCTCCACACCCCCCGGCACGGAGCCACCGCGAAGCAGAGGCACCGCCGGACGGCTCTGCGAAACGCTGCCCGCGGCCCCAGCACCGCGCTCGCCCCTCGCTGCCCACAGAGGTGGACGCTCTAACGTCTGGGCCCTGCAGCTTTCTTGGTGTAATGGAGGAGGATTCAGGTGAAAGCACAGGTTATCCAGTTTTTTGGAGACGGTGCTTTCCCCATAGAAATAGTTTCAGTTCCTTCTTATTTAGTGGCAGCCTGTGTGGATGGTGCTCGGCTATAAACTCGTTGCCCTTTGCTACTCATCAGTCTACCAAAATAAAAAATAAACATGTTGCTGTAGTAATGAAACCCTCATGTCCGCTCCTGGGGAGGGTGAGTTAATTGCCAGCCAATAAGCTCATGTCAGAAAGTGTGTGAACCTGGAGCGAGATCTGTGGAGTATGAGAGGGAAGAACAGAAAATTGAAATCCCGTAAGGGATTTGATACATTGCATTTTCACAGCTCGCAGAGAAAGCAGAAGAAATGGATTCCTTAAGGTGGAAGGAATGGGCACTTAAATGGCAATGAAATTATTCTGTAAATTTTAGCGCTTTCAGCAAGTGCCAGACAGTAATCAGATCCATTCAAATATATAAATTCAAAGATTCGTAATGTGTAAGGCCAGCAGAGACCATGGAGGTAAGTTCTGATGACCTCCATCATGTAGGTCATGAAGTACCTTTATATATATATATATATATATATATATATATAACTGAGTGCCAGTTCATGGAGCTTGACTTTAGCTGATTCAAAAATCAGATGTGCACAAATCAGGAGCAAGACCACGGAAATTATACTGCTACAAAAACTTATAGGACAAATCAGGCATCTGTGGGCATGGTTTTCAGATAGCAGCACGTTTGTGTCAGCAGCAGCTGCAGAGGTGAAGTGCTTAAACCTGTGAAATGAAGGGAGCAAAGGGAGGCATTATTGCTCTGCAGACTAATATATAAAATGAGTAAACACACGTTTTGCGTGTGCATCTGTGTGAAAACCTCTTCTACAACAAATTTAGTCAACAGGAATATTCGTGACAGTGTGCAGCGTGGAGCGTATTGGCGTGCTGCCGCGGCGGGTCTGCGAGGGGACCAGCCCTGCCTTGCTCAGCGCCTGGTTTCTGAAATCTGGATTGCGCCGAGGCGGCACAGTGCACTTTGTGGTCTTATCCTGCGGGCCCTCGGCACTGTGCTAATTTCCCCCAGACCCTCGGGCAATCAGTGAACCTTCCGAACCCACACTGGCACTGCTCAGCCACGACCATTGCTACCTGCCATTTTTTTTGTTTGTCACCCACGAGGCCATGTATTTTTAGCCTGGGTTTTGCGACGTCCCCTCTGCGGCAATCGAAGAGCCAGAGTCGGCCATGCCCAGGCCGGAGGTGACGGTGATGATGCCCATTTCCATGGCAACCCAGCACAGCCCTGCGCGCCTGTTCCCATAGCAAATGGCTGACGTACACCCGCATGGAGAGACGTAAACGGGAACCGGGACGCGTGGTGAGGTGGTGGAGCAGGTTAATTGCCAAAGGAAGGAAGGTAGGCAGGGGACAGCTTTTCCAAATCTCGTGCACACAGTGTCTTAGAACATCTCCTGGGGGATACAGGTGAAGACTCTCCCGTCTAGCTTACGGGACCGCTCAGTGACACACCACATTTGTCACCCGAGTAAACCGCTTGTCACGGTGGCCGAGTCATACTGCATCCAGGAGCTGTGCGCGGGAGCGCCGCGGACACGACGAACGCCCAGCCATCGGTGACGTTATTCCAGCAGCTTTGGGGGTGTCTGTGTTAGGAAGTACCTTCCACAGGTGCATTAAAAAAGGGGAGAGGAAGGTACTGAAGTGGAGGATTCAGTCTCAATAGGCGCAATAGCTATTAAGCAGTACTCTTTATTTGATGTGTTGGAGGCATGGGGGATCATTCCTCCCAATACACGTACCACCGGAGTGGAGTTTATGCTATTTATACACAATTCACTTACATATTCACGTGATTTCCAAGAACTAATTACAATATTAATCACTCTTCTAAGAAATCATTATAATACGTTGCCACCTACTTCCGCACGTGCGTTACAGTCCCGGGGTGGTCTTGTAGGACCCCGGGTGGTCGTTTACTTCATCATCCTCACCTTCATCACAGCATCCTTTCTGTGAACTGGGTTCTGTCTTCCCCTTTCCCTTACAGCTGAGACCACAGAACCAGCTCCATCTGGCAGTCGTGCAGGCTTCAGCCTCCTTCTGCCGTTATCTCGTTTCTCCTAGATAGGCCCGCACCTAAACCACGTAAGCAGCCAGGCTCAAGCCTGATAATCATAGATAAGGCGTACCTTATTCCTTCGTTAGGCAGGTTCCTAAGCACAACTACGAACGAGACACTATTACATGAAGCAGTCCTGTCACAGACCTTGCCACTACTGACAATTTGTAATTTCCCATGTGTCTTCCCTCTTCAGTGTTCAGAACGCCTGGCAGGCGATGCATGTGGCGCTGAAAAATGACTTCGGTGAACAGGATTTTAGGATTTCCCAAATCAGCGTTCGGTTAGAGGCCAGCAGAAGCGCGGAGCGGCCGGGAGCCCGGAGGGCCGCGTCGGGGCTGAGGCTGGCTGGGCCCGGCCGCTATCGCGACAGAGCGGGGCGGGCGGCGGTCCCTATCGCGACAGAGCGGGGCGGGCGGCGCGCTGCCCCGGCCCAGCCCCGCACCGACCCTCCCGGCAGCCGCAGCGGCGCCGGAAGCGCGGCCCGGCCGGCGGGCGCGGCGCGGGCGATCGGCGCTGGCTGAGGGGCCCGGCGGGGCCCGGGCGGCCATGGCGCAGCAGCGGCCTGGGCCCGAGCCGCCGTGGCCGGAGAGCCTGGCCCCGCTGAAGGTGCGTGAGGCGCGGCGAGATGGCGGGCGGGACGGCGAAATGGCGGGAGGGATGGCGAGATGGCGGGCGGGGTGCAGGCGGGAGGGCCGGCGGGATGGCGGGCGCGGGGCCGGCGGGCCGGCGGGCGGGATGGCGGGCGCGGGGCCGGCGGGCGGGAGGGCGGGATGGCGGGCGCGGGGCCGCGGTCGGCGCTGCCCGGGGCCGCGGGGGCAGCCGGCCCCGCCGCCCGCCTGAGCTCGGCTCTCTCTCGCAGGCGGTGGACGAGCTGCTGCGGTGCGGGATTTGCTTCGATTACTTCAGCGTTGCCATGATCATCCCCCAGTGCTCGCACAACTGTGAGTAGCGGCGCGGGGAGAGCGGCGGCCCCGCGGGCTGAGCTCACCGGGGGGCCGCGCAAAAAAACAAACAAAATAACCCCCAAAATTTACTTGTTTGGCGTTGTAAATCGCTGCTTCCTGCCCTGTCGCTGACGTATTTTACAGAGGGTCAATGCGTACATCGCTATTGGCTTGCTGGTTGCAGTTTACATTTACTTGGGTTTTAATAAAATGTGCGCCAAAACAGCTGCTTGAATAAAAGCTGCTCGAGTAGGAGCAAAGGTAAATGGGGCATTCAGTGTGGCAAGTCACTGAGGGGGCGGTGAGGTTGTTCTTTCCTGTATTCTGGGACTTTGTGGCATTTAGAATTAACATATTTCGTGTCAGTGCACCTTGCCGTATGTTCCAGGGAGAACCGGGGTGGCTGTGATGGGAGTGTGTCTTGCCCCTGTGACCCTGTTTAAGCCTGACTTGTCATTCAGGTGACAGATTAAGGCAGGCAGGTAGGGCTGAGGAGGGTGGACTGAAAGAAATCTTGAGTGAATGGTTTGGTTTTCATACCTCTTTCCCAGGAAACACAAGACTGGAGAACATCCTTGTCTGGCAAAATCCTCTTGCACCTGAGCCAAGTGACAGAAAACTCTTGATTAATGTCCTCAGAAAAGAGTTTTCTCCTTTAGAGTTTCAGAGACAAGTCATCATTTGACCATTTATTATTTACTGGCACCTAGAGCAGAGGTTAGCAGTCCTTTATCTCCTTTATACAACATGTAGCTCTCCTACTCACAGCTTAGCCAGCAAGGACGTTTGCCTCGGAGGAGCTCTTCTGCATGAAAGCTGTGAAGCAGCCAGCAACCTTTCCTCATCCGGTTACGGTTGCAGCCTTCTGTCAGCACAAATGCGTGTCATCTGGGTTAATACACTTAAACAGCGCCTATTCCTACAGCTCTTCATTTAGTATCTTTCCTAACATCTCGAGGGCGGAACAAAATGCAAAGCTGTATGGCAGAGAGCATTAAGTGTTATGACTTAAAATTTTCCGTGCTGCTCTGTCTGCCTCAGACTGATACCTGCTGGAACGTGGTAGCGAAGCAGTTTACTGAGAGTGTCATTAGGGAGAAGTACATTGCCTTTTCTCACGTTGAAATAAATGCTTATAATTGTTTTGTTCAGAAACTGTAGCACTTCCGCTTCCTTACATGTAGGAGGACATTGTAGTTTGGCAATGAAATTTAGTTTACCTTGGCAAAACTGTCACCATTGAAAACAGCACAGTTATGGTGGGGAGCACTGGAAGTTCTCTGCAGTAGCTGGTGTGACAGCCTGCCTGTGACACAGCTGGGTTCAGAGGCCCTTAACTTTGAAAAGAATCTGTCAGTTTTCCAACAGATTACATGCTTAATTTCCCCTTGCAAATTGCAGAAAGCCTAAGTTTTCTACAATAAATCAAAATTCCTTGAAGTATTTTCCACTCAGTTGTTTCTGTGTCATCTGTGCAGTCCACTGAGATTGTGCAAATTGGAGCAAAAAGCCCTCTGCCATTAATGAGTAATTATTTGTGAATAAATGAAAAATTTGCTTGCAAATTTTTTTTGGCTTCTTTTTTTCTTATTGATCTATTACAGGGATTCTAGACATCTCTCTAATCTGTTTGCACCTGTAGTCACTTAAAATTCCTCCTCTGCTCGTTCTTGGGTGACTGGTAGCTCTCTTGACAGTAGCTGTTTAACTTTCACAGTGCTTTGGGCTGTATCTTTAGTGACAGTAGATGTGCCATTCATATTTCTTTCAGATAATAAAAACAGCTGAAGATGAATGTATTCTTTTAATATGGATGTCTAACCGGGCAAAGTGTGTTGAAATTACTACTATGCTTCTAGCTAAGCAGGTTTCAGAATTGCTTGCTCACTTGAAAAAAAACCTATGGTCTTCGGTATGTGGTGTGTAAATTGTGGCACTACTGAGTTTTCTCGTGTCAGGCTTGTTTTATTCCTCTTTCTTTTCACAACCTTGCTACTTCCAGATTAAAGTCAATAGAGATTGTTATTTGCTGGCAGTGACTTGTACATTTTCATTCTGTCGTTGGCGTTAAATATCCAGTGATGGTTGTCAGCTGAAATTCATACTTCAGGATTCTCTTCTGTATGCTGAAATACAGTGTGGCGACTGAGTCTTATAATTAATTTGGTAGATGTGGTTTTACAGGTGGGTTTGGCCTGTCGGTGCAGATGGAAGTGAACGTTGTGGTACCATTCAGTTCTTGGCGTATGAGCCATCTACAGCAGACAGAGACCTGTTTTGTTGCCCCGGGAATGGCAGGCTGAGACCCGAGCCACGGCGGGGCTGGCTCCCATAGGAAGAGGCAGCGGATGGGAGAGGAGGGACTGGGGACACAGACTTGGAGGCCGTTGTCTTCTCTGCACGGGCCCAGAGCCAGCCCTGGGCACAAACGTTAGTGCTGAGAGCTTGTGTGATTTATTATCCCCAGACTGGCTTCAGCTGCCCTGGCTGTGAGCAGGGATGGCTGCAAACAGGCCGGTCCCATTGCTTACAGAACGTGACGGGGTGTTGGATGTTGGTACAGTTGATTCATATTCATACAGTTAAAGTTTGTTTATTGTTTTAAAGGATTTCTTGCCCCATATCACATCTTACTATATAACGTAATCTTTGAGTATTTAGATGGATTTGCGGTTTTAAGTGTTGAATTAGTGCATTAGTGCTCCTGCTGCTTTTCAGACTCCTTCACGAAGAATCTTTGAAATATACCTGCTTAGGTGTTGAGTGCTGAGACTGACCAATAATGATCTCATAAATGGATGTCTGTTTGGCTGGAGAGCGATGAAACTTTTTGCATCTTGGAAGTGGTTATGAAAGCTCATAGATAAGTAGAGAAAGTAGACTAATTTCAGGAATTTACTGTGACAAAGTGAAGCTTCTGGCATATTTCACCAAAGAGTCTACTGAAGCATCCTGGGATGATAGTATGACTTGCTTTTCCTGGGAAACATTTAAGCGGTCTCTCAGTCAGTGTTCCAGTGCTGTTTCCCATCCGTTCTACCCTTTTCCCTCAACAACAGGTTGGTATTGTTTTGAACCTGGAAAAAAGAGGGGATAGTGAGTTTGAGTGAGGCTATGCAGGAAGATGAAAGTGTTCTAACATCAGTCATGTTAAAAAAAAAAAAAAAGCGGTGGTGTGGGAGTGAGCAGTGCAAACACACTGCTTTGTAGTGGTAGCAGACTGAGGTTCTCTTGTCTTGTGTTAGAGAAACAGAAGTACGCATCTGCTTTTGACAGAGCGACTGAGATTAAATCTTGAAAGATGCTTGTGTAAAATACAGATTTTTTTGCTACAATGGTAATCTTAATTCGCTGGAAAAATTACGTATTTTCAATATTGGGGTGTTGTGGAATAGTTTGCATATATTGTACAACAAGAAAATATACTGGTAAGAATGTTGAACTGCATTTGGAAGAATGCCTGTTTAAAAATTACATATTTCCTTTTTCCAGATTGTTCCCTTTGTATACGCAAGTTTTTGTCCTACAAAACTCAGTGTCCAACATGCTGTGTGGTAAGTGTTTTTCTTTGGTTTATTTTTCAGCAAATCTCAGGAGTTTTCCCTTTGGACTATGCTAAATAATTAACTCTGGTCATATATAACACCCTCCCTTTTGGTGAGCAGCTCTTTGGTGTGGTGCTCTCACAGCTGAAATTCTCTCGTTTCAGAGCCACTCTTCTGTCAGCACAGGCAGAAGTAGGTGAAGCATCAAACCTGGGGTTTGGCTCAGAGCTGTGTGTACAGGCTCTCATGAAACATTTAACATTGCCTCCTAATTTGTTAAAATACACCATCACTTAAAACATGAGTGCTGAAATTTAAGCACTTAAATTTTCCGTGATTGAGTGGCCTCACTTCATCTTTCCAGGAGTCTTTACAAGTGTCCACAGACCACCTAGTCCTAAAAGTGCCTGACTGTACTATGGAGCCGTTTTGGGGATGAGAGGACTGTGTGACACACCGGGGAGAGGAGGCATTTGCCATGAGAAGTAGATTGAATGTCAAAAGCACTAGAGGCAGGTTCAGCCTGCTCTGCAAGTGGGTGATTGTTACAGTCTGACTTCAAGGCCCTTTTTGATTAAAGAACACAGAATGCAGTTTATTCTAGGCTTTAATCTAACTTTTCATTTTAAGCCAATTGGGCTTTATTGAACTCCTAAAAATGGTGAGCTGCCTAAAAACAATGAGAGGCACTTCAGGAATACTGGCAAAATAGAAGTAAGTTTCTTCTGTGTTTTTAAACCATGAACCAAAGACTGGAAAACAGATCTAGGTGTAGCTTGTCTAGTTTTGAAACATTTGAACAAGACCAGACTACTTGGAGTGTGGTTTACTACTGCATTCTGAAAAATCACAGGTATTGATATGGGCAAGACTGATAAAAGCTTTGTAAAAAAGAAGAGCGGAGAGAGACAGCCAGAGAGATAAAAATCAGAAATTGTTTAAGAAGAATTAATCGAATGCACGAAGCCATCTCTAAATTAATATTTTCATTCCACAATCAGAAGATTAACATTTCCCTTCATCAGTTTTCATGCCTTGTTGCTTAAGGTTCTTATCACATTCATGGGATCCTTGGTTTGCTTTTCAAAATAATTCGAACCAGGCTACAATGAAGCATTGTTGGAGACTGGGTACAGTGGATTTTGTTGCTTCATTTTTATCTATTACCTATAATTTTCCAGGCTTACAGTACTCAGGCAGTTATTTTAGTTTGAGATATTTTTCAGGAAAAAATGTTTACACTTTATACATCTTCATTCACATAGCAGTATAGTGGGGGCTTAGCTGAGGCGTTGATCCAAGAAACAGATTATTGATCACTTGAACGTTTTCTGGGTACTTGTTTTCACTGCATTTGAATGTTTGGGGTTTTTTTTTTTTTTTTTTTTTTTTTTTTTTTTCTTTCTTTCTCTCTTTTTTTAATAGGCAGCCTCGGAATCTGACCTGAAAAATAACCGGATGTTGGATGAAGTGGTACAGAGCTTTAATTCTGCAAGGTATACTGTAATTTTATGAACACTCTGGTTTGGCAGCTGGAAAGGCACATGTGATTACTTTGTGTGACCAGGCTAGGAGTCCCTGTAAAGGAGCAGAGCAAGGAGCAGTGTGAGGACTCGGTGAAAAAAGTTGTGGTGTCACAGAAACGTTGTCATCTTTTTGTTGTCATCAAAAGATGAATGTTTATGGCTTTGGAAAAATCCTGTAGTTTTCTGGCTGAAGGTTACTGTGTGCTCAGGTGACGTGTGGAGGTTGTGTAAGCTTATTTTGGCTTTGTTTCTGGTTAGCTGCTGTGTAAGTTACCGTCTCTTCCAACATGTAGGAAGTCAAGCAGACGTGTCAGGATTCTGCAGGGAAAATAATGGTAATAAATACTTTCTTTCAAGATCCTTCCTATGTGTTCAAGGGAAATTCTGAACAGAAAGATATTGTCCAGTGGTAATGTTCAACTTGCAAGAGAATTCTCGTTGTGAAGTAATTGTATGGGAAAAATGTAGGTATTGAGGGACCACAGATGTGAGTTTTCCTGGATAAGAGAAGGAATGGAGTATTGTACTTTCACCTGAATTTCTTAGCCACTTTGATGTTTGCTTTTACTTCATTTTTGATCTGCTTGTCCCTTTGAAAGACAGGAACAACAGAATAAGCATGATTTAGTTAATGCTTATCACAGTAGATATGAGAATTCTTGTATTATCTCTCTGTTTTATTTTGATTAGTAGCAGCTCAGTGATTTGCTAGGTATATTGTAGGTATTCCTGTGTCTATGGGAGACAAATACACTATCATCTTTTTCTCTGAAATGAGCTTGGAACTTGAAGTCAATGAGATTCTTGGCTTCATAAGTGATAGGAATATAGTTCACTTTATGGCTTTGTTTCTTGAGAGCATTTCTCTGTGATGGAGATCTAATATTCTGTATGACCACTATCAGATTGAATTGATTTTATTTGAAGAATTGAAATTCTATAGTTTCATTATTTTATCTCAAACTCTGTCTTTGTTTCCTAGTGATAAATGGATTACTTTTTCTTTTTTTTCTTTTTTTTTTTTTTTTTGTTTTTTGTTCTTAATGTCTAATTTTACAAGGAACAAGTAGTGCTGACTTGGATCCATTATGATATTGAATCTTAAACGTTAATTTGTTTTGACTGCTTTAATGGATTGGTATAAATCTTACCAGTCAGAGTAGTTTAATCTTTCCTTTTGTGACTTGGAGTTCAATCAATTTCTCAACGTAAAGCTAGATCAATAAGACAAAAACGGTCATGTCCTGTTGTGTACCAGGTGAGGGTGAGGTGGGAGAGAGCCAGTGCAGGGTTCTTTCTTGATCTCGGTAAGAAAGGCCCAACAACAAATTGCTTTCTAACTGCTCTAATAAATCAGACTCATAAGAGGAATATAGATAGCGAGTAAATCCCGTGTCTCTTCGGATGCTGGGCACCCCACGCTCGTGCCTCTCTCAGCCTGGGTTTGCATTTACTCTGCAGACGGTCCTGAGTTTGAGGGGAACACTGCTTGGCTGGAGAGTGTTATGTGATGTGAGTACCTTTAAATCAGAAGAGCATCGTTGGTTTCTGCCCTGGTGATGTTGGCTGCCTCCCCCTGTCCTTTCCCATCAGCTTTGTTTCCTTTTGGCCCACCCCAAAACAAATCCAAAGTCATAGGCATTGATTTTTGAAACATGCTCAGCTCTTCGAGTCCATTCTGACTTGACTGTGAGCCGCAGGTAGTTTAGCATTTATGAAAATCAGGCCTTAAATCTTTTCAGTATTTCACAAAATGCAAACACATTTCTTAAGTCAGGCCTGTAGGGAAAGAAAATGTTAATGTTGGTAGTACTTAGCAAAGTGAGAGCTGTGCTCCCAAGGTCAGTGTGTGCGTGGAATGGAAATCATTCTAAACAGACCTGAGTGCTGATCCCATTTATACTCCTGCTCAGCATTTAGCTGAGTGTGCAGAATCAGAGCTTTTGTGATTATTTGTGCTCAGTGAGTGTTGTCTTGGGAGCCCTGCTTCCTCCCTGTAGAAGTGGTGGACTCTGCTGTTGCCCAGTAAAAGTGAAGATGTTGTTTAGTTCGTTATGGCCCATTAGTGTTACGTTCTGTGTGAAAGGGTAGAGGAGCAGTTTTGAATAGGCTTAAATATCTCTGAATTTGCATTGCTTTGTCCTTGTGTTCAGGTGGAGGGAAGGGAGCACTTGGCTCAGGGCTCCATTGCCTTGTACTCTGCTTTTCAGGTAGAATTGGTCGCTGCCTGGGGCAGGTGAGCAAGATGGGCACTGCTACTTGTACCGTTGTTCCTTTAGGAGCAGTATTTTTATCAGTAGCAATGAGGCCAGTGTTTTCAAAAATAAGCGTAAAGTCTGGGGGTTGTTTTGAAATGAATTTCGTCGTCCTGTAATAAAGAGGTGGTTTTGATAAAAATTGCCAGTTTCTGCATCACCTAGTTAGAAAATTTAGCAATAGAAATTATACTTGCATAAGTAGAGAACTACTAGTCCTCGCTGAAAACGATCTGTGCTTTTTCTCGTGCATAGGGAAGAAAAATGTGCTTTTACTTTCAAGTTTATATCTTAGTTTCCTAATCAGGGTTACTTGATAGCTGGTGAGTCAGAGGAATAAACGCATCCACTCTGAGTGCTCAAGAGAGCAGGTACTGTCATTTCTAACACACTGATTAAACTTCCAGGAGGAGTGCAGAAGGAATTTCAAGGAGAGAAACTGTCCTTTAGTACAGTCAGAACTGCCCCGTGTGAGCTGTTCATAGGAAGATTCACAACCCCATCTCTTCCCTGGAATGCTTGTGGAAGCACTACATTCCCACCTACTTGCTCTGCTTTATAGCTGCATCGTCAAGGGAGAAGTAAATGGACCATAAAATGGGAACCAGGATCTTGATGAAGAAGGACATGGAAGGTTTTTTGTGGGTCTTGCAGCTCTGAAGAAAAAAAAAAATGGCAAGATATTTATACTGTTATTAAAGCATGCCTGGCAGAGAGAGTGTGCTGTATACAGCATATTAAGAGGACTGTCCATTTTTAGTTAAACTACAAGAAGCATAACTCCCTGTCCTGACCCAAGCCAGCGATTAAAGAGGATGGGTCTCTTAGGAAGATTTGGGTAGTGGTTTTAACAGTGCATTTTAGGACTCGCTGACATCTTGTTGAGTCATCTTTCAGCCTTTAACGTGTGCTGCTTGTGCTCTTAAACTGAGGTCTGTCAGCTGCGATGCATTTGCTGCTTTTGTGCCAGGAGGGTGAAAGAGTATCTGCTATAAACCTCTCAGAACTGATAGCAGTTTGTGTAAAGTTATTACGAGTATAATAGGTGATGCTGAAAACTGCATGCAAAACACAGAGCTTTTTGAGAAGTGTGTTGTCCTGAGGTTTACCAGCAGAATCAGTGTCTGGGTGAGCTGGACAGGCTGGGGGGGGTGGGTGGACTTCTCCATCAACTGCCTGCTTTCCCTCGACTCTGCCGGCTGTCTCGGGGATGAACCTTCCAGTCTGGTCATGCTTGTCGGAGTCACTCCGACAACTATCAGAATTTCTGTGAATACCGAGGAATTTGAGTAATTTGCTCGGGGCGTTGAGGGAGGGGAGGGCTGGTTGCTAAAGGTCCTGTTGGAGAGCCCAGGGCTGTGTGGGGAGCCGAGCTGGGGGGTGTGGGGGGGTGTCGGTGGGGTGCGGGTCTGGTGGGGTGTCCACTAGATGTCATCACGCAGCCAGTGAAGCTGCTCAGTGGGCCCAAAATACCACATGCTGGGAAAAGCCAGTCTGGGAGTCTTCTCTCCTCTTCTGAGTTTAGTACTAGCATTTTCTGTATTTTCCCACCAAAAAAAAAAAAAAAAAGGACATACCGAGATTTCATGTGTGCTTTGGCAAACAAGTTTTCATATTGTTGTTCTAGTGTTCTTTCCGTTGATTCTGTGCCAAGATCAGATCCCTTCGGAAAGTCTATTCGTAAGTCTTTATCCTTCAGTAAGAGGAAAAACTCCATATGATTATTTGTAGACCAATGATACAATTAAAGCAACTTTTATTATCAAATTATTGTTAGGATAGATTTTGGGGTTTGTATTGTTTTTCCAGTTTTTATCTCTCTTTGTTTTATATCGGATCATATGTTATTGAGACAATTTATTACAGATTCTGAAATTTCTGTTCGGATGATTTCCCTATTCTGGCTGCCTTCATGCAAATGTTATCAACTTGCATTTGAAGTGAGATGGTGTTCTATTTGGGCAGTCCATCCCATCAGCTCCAGAGACACTCTCCCGAGTTCAGAAGTCTATCCTTTCGTACAGGACACGTTGCAAAAATGCTGAGCTTTGTGCTCTGAGCCTTTTGCTGTGTGTCTGCCGCCTGCTTCTGCTGCCCACGGGGCTGTCTTCCTCCCTCCAGCCTTTAAAACCGGAATTGTTCAGCTGCCCCTTGCTTGGCCTTGCAGGCGACTGGGGTCCAGACCCACCCCCAAACCTGTGTTTTGGCCCGGCAGCCTTCCTGAGGGACAGGTCAGACTCTGAAAAGCTCTGCTTCAGAGAATTGGAGGTGTTGCAGGCTGTACTGTTGTGATACATCCTGAGAAAGAAATGTTGAGAAAAAGATACAGGAGGCATTCTTAAGTCTGGTGAAAAGATAAACTGATGTGAAGTTTGAATTTTAGGAGTGTTGTCAGCTAGTATGAACACACTGGGAAATATGTTCTAAGTAGTGAATGCATGTTGTCAAAAAATAAACACATAATTGGGAGCTACAAATAGTCGAATGTGTTACTTTGACAAGTGGAGGAGCTCTCAAAAGCATTAGAAAATACACTGAAAAGATGGGGGAGATCAGTTATGTTCTTTTGATGAAGACAATGAGTATAGGCAACTGGCTAATTGTTCTGATGGTTTTGCCTTCTGAGCTTATATCGTTCTTTATTTTATGGGAGAGCTAAATTGATACGATGCCAAATGATTGCATTTATTGATCTGTTTCATGTTATCTGAGCAGCAAAGAATTTATCTTGCTATAGCATAGGATGCTGGGCTTTTGTGTAAAAATGGTTGCTTAAAAGCCAAAAGAATAATATGATAAGACTATGTGTTGACTTTCATTAGCTGCTTTAATGGTAGGTAGCCTCTATGAAAACCTGGGGGAGTCTGAAGAAATAGATGACTTTTACATAACCAAAAGAGAAATTCCTTGCTCAAAAAAGAAAAAAAAAATTTTTTTTTGAGAGTACATCTTTGTTAGAACACCCAGCAGCATCCTTTTGAGGATTAAACTTTGCCTAAGTGTGTTAGGAATAAAAGGCAGCTCATTTGTTCATTTTTGGACCTGATTCTAGAGTATAACCATCTGTGGTGGGACAAGTCTTCTGAGGCTACAGTTTGTTACCTTTAAGTTGAAGAATACTGTGCATTTATCTGCAGTAAAATGAGATACTTTGCCAACTCTTGCTGCTGGTGGCTGTGTTGGGCAGCGATAGGCTGTCAGACCTTCCCGATATTTCTGGATGAAATCCCCCCCTTGTAAACAGCGGCCGTGGGGCCGGGCTGTGTGAAGGCACGCTGTTCGTGTTGCCATTAACCAGCTCCTGCGTTCCCCGTGAAGCTGATCCTACGCCAACAGTAGCTAGACTACTCTGTGTCTGTGGCAGCCGGGGAATTAACCTCCTGAGAAACTTCCAGTCCATATCTAGGCATGAGCAGACAGGAAAACAGAGTTTTGCTGCCACACTTCATTGCACTTGTTTGCACTGCAGAAGGCCAGAGTCTTGGGACAGATGTGAATTGCCACTGACGGATGTGGTCATTGCATCCAGTAATCCAGGAAATTTAAACCCCAAATCGGGCTTCTGAATCTGGCTTGAGTATAACCACTGCAGAGCTTCTGGTCTGCTGAGCTGGCTGCTGGGGTGGTTCCCCAGGAACTTACCCTGAGCGAGTATAATTGCGGGGTTACCTGGTGACTTATATGAACTAATTTTTAAAAGATATATGTACAGACAATTCTGAATTAGTTGTTCTTAGACATGAAAAATCTTTACCTTAAAAGACTGAAAAGTTTCTAAGGAGTTACCCAATACTGAAGTGTCATCAACTGCAAAATCTGAGAGCATAGCTGCATTTCAGGCTTCTTATGGGCCTTGTCTTCTTGAAAGTGCTGTAAGAAACAATTCTATGGCAGTGTGCATTATGTAGGTACCTCACCTACAGTCCTGTCCCCACCCCCCCTTTTCTTTTTTTTAAACAGAAAAGGAATAGTATTGCGAATTGTTTCAGCTGTTACTTATGCTTTCTGACTTAAAAACTTTGCAAATTGAGGACCCACAGCTGTTCTACTTCCACAGGCTTTGTCTCCTCAGGTGCAGTGAATTGTCACAATCAAAGCTGTACAGCTGTGGCATTTAAATAAAGAGCATGCACTCGCTGAGCAATGGCAGGAGTAAAAATCCTAGTGCTTGGAAAAGTGAATGTGTTCTAGATGGGAAGGAGGAGGACTCTCTGGTGGTGTTTGTGGTCTCTTGGGGCCATGCATTCGTATCCGAGGGATACCCAGCATCTTATGTCATTGTAACTTGTCTCGTGAAGAAGTTACCGTTATCCTTACTGCCCTGGGCCAGCGGCTCCTCAGCACCGGTGAACGCTGCGGCACGGGGCGGAGTGCTGGAGGCGCAGGCACGTGGGGATGCAGTGTGCCTTTTTGGGCAGAGGCTCCTGGACTCCTCAGCATCCTCGGAAGCTATCCCTATTCCTCTCCCTTCCACTTGTGTTCTCCTGCTACAAAGAGAAGGGAAGGTCCCCTCTGCCGCACTTAACAAGTGGGGACAGAGCACCGCTCTGAGGGGAACCGATCTCCTCCATTTATTGTTAGAGACATGCTGCCTTTCCTTTAAAATCTTCCCTTTTATTGTAAGCTGCCCCAGTTTGCCAGAGCTTGTAGATGGTAATTTTTTTCCTGTAGTTGCTTTTTTTTTGTTTGTTTGTGTTTTTTGTGTTTTGTTTGGTTTTGTGCTTTTTTTTTGGTGTGTGTTGTTGGGTGTTTTTTTTGTTTGTTTGTTTTTGTTTTGGTTTTTGTTTTTTGTTTTTTTTTGGGGGTAGAACTTCTGGCGATGCAGCAGGCTGGGGCTTGGCAGGTGATGGTTTTGAGAATGGCAGCAAGTCAGGGAGGAAGCTCAGGAACGCTTGGGCAGCCGTGCAGGCCTGGCACTCTTGGAGAGCTGGACAAGCAAACGGTGCGCAGGTGGCCAAGGGGTGATGCAGCACTGGATTAAAGGCTAATGACTGCATGTGTGCTTCTGCCAGCTGGTTTTGGCTGGATGATAGGAACTTCTTTGTGACCCTCAGGATGTGGAGGACTCTTGTCAAAATAGGAGTGGGACTTGTGGTTTGTCTGTTGCTGGTGTTAGCTGGGAAAGCCTTCCCTCTGCCTCTGGTGGTACAGGAGTGAAAGTGAACCACAAGGTATGTGGGCAGGCTGTGCCATCTCCCTGCCAAGGATGCAGTCACTGGCTTAATTTATCTTAGATTGAGCTGCATAAAATACATGGTAAATAGGATTCTACAAAAGCCCCTGGGGCAGGAGTAGGAATAAGACATGCTTTAAAGATCTTACGCAGTTGCCGAAGTAGGACAACTGTGACTTTGTGATTCTTTGTATTACCTCAAAGCTAAAAGAACTAATGAGACAGACATGAGGATGAGCCTTCCTGCGTTCCTGCTGATAAAACACAAGTTTGTCTATTTGAAAAGAGACTTCTGTTTAAATTGCATCTTGATATTTGCTAGCCCTGAGGAGGGCAGGGAGTATGAGTTGGGGGGATAAAGCATGCATAGACGGGTGGTAAGTATTCTGGTGGAGCCTGAAGTGGGCTGTTCCTGAGGGCAGTTATGTTTCCCTCTTATTTTCACATGAAAAAAGAATGGAGGGTTTGTGCTCTTTGGCTGATCATCATGAAATGTGACTGAAATAGTTTAGATTACTTGGTGCTAAATCTCCAGACCTGACAAGCATGCAGTTATCTCTTGGTGGGGTTCTGCTCAAGTGGGTGGGCAGGGAGCAGCTGTGTTCGGGAGATGCACAGTAAGGAGGGACAGAAGGAATATGGTAACGCTTTCTGCTAAGCTCTTTGGTTTCAGGAGCCTCTGTCACAGCTGTGTGACACAGTGCTTGAAGTACTCTCACTTGAAAATGGCTATTTACCATCTTCAAGTAAGGGGGAAACCTTTCTGTTCTTTACTGTGTCCTGTGTGATGTTTTGAGAGGCATTTTATTCCATTTGCAAAGTAATTCTCAGATTCAGTAGAGCATAGTGAGGCTCAGCTGGTGTGCTCCTGCTCCTGGTTTGTGTGGGCTAGCCAGTTCCCGAGTGCTGCGTGTGAGCAGGGGGGAGAGGGAGGAAGGAATGGAGGGAAAGCTCCATCTGTTTTCGTTCTGGTCTCTTTGCAAAGAAAAAGCTAATGCTGTCCAACATAGCTAACTGCATGTTGTCTCCTGGGTGCTTCTAGACAACAGCTGTTCCAGTTGGTCCTGGATGCTCCGCTGATGTCATCTCCATTGGCTGGTAGCAGGCGTTCGGCTGGCAAAAGCTGTGTTAGCAGTCCTTTTTCTGGGCCGGCTTTAAAAAAAGAGATGTCAGTGATTGACAGTTTCTTGGGAAAGGGAAAAGTTTGCACTTCAACAAAGTCAGAGGGCCTGGCAGGAACGGATGAGAAGATTTTCAGAACTGGGGAACATCAGAACCTTTACAGCAGTTCTGCAGAGGTTGATGGTAAAGACAATGAGGTGGGATCACAGGAGAGGCCTGAGTGCACCAAAAGTCCTGAAAAGCCTTCTACATCTGTGGTGAAAGTAGTCAATAAAGGTGAGACGCTTAATTTTTGGTTTTGTCCTATTCTCTTCCCCAAGTCCATGGTTGTGGTTGGCTGTATTCATCAGAGTACCTTCGGTAAGTGGCATTTGTCTCATTTCTCTGCATGGCTCTGATCTGTGCTGGCGTGTTCAGGTGCTTCCCGTTTCACTGACTGCTGCACTCACATTACTGCTCATGGGGGATAGCTCTGCTATGAGCATATTCTTGATGAGGAAGCTTGGGCTGATGCCAAGTAATTACATGAAATTCAATGCCTACAGATTCCAGTTGCTTTGAGTAACGACTCTAAAAAACAATAGTTGCACAAGACTTGCTCAGTAAAAAAATGAAGTCATTTTCTCTTCTCCTTCCCCTTAATGAGGAGACGTACAACGTTGACATTCATTCTGCTCTTGTATCCTTAAGTGACCAAAAGCAAGGTATTTTATAATATGGTTGTTGAGGGGTTGCACCCACATTCAAAAAGATCATGGCTTCAGTTTTGTTAATATTCCTGTTCGTATGCCTTCCAGAAGAAAGTAATCTGCTTTATTCTTTTGTAATTCTACAGTGTTAAGATTAATTTATTTTGAAAGCATGGAAATGCCCATTTATACTAATCAACTACAATAAAATGACAGAATCCTCTTAGTTTTGACATGATGCAGCCGTCCTATTGACCCAATTAAAAGCCTAAATTAAAATAAAAGACCATGTAGGAGTACAACACTGATTCTTATTAGTTTGCATTTATCCGTTCTTTTGTTTAATGGTTTATTCAACTGGAACCCTGAGGTTTATATTTGTTCATTAGCTAGGTAAAAGCTCCTTAAAGATGTAATACAGCCAGAAAAGTAGCCATATGAGAATGGCATCAACTTAGTTGTCGTTTCCTATTTTTACGCATCAGACTTGCTAGCGTTAGTAATTTGAAACTCCTATGAAATTTTACTGCTCATTTATTCTTGAGCAATTGAAATCTTCACTTGCTTACCATTTTATGACCTTATTAAATCTTCAAGCATGTACTACATTGAAATTATTTCCACAACTGCAAAATAGTTGGTCAGACAATATAAATGAAAGACTTGAAATGAGGCAATGCTGAAGTGGTTTTAGTAAGTGTTATTTGTTCCTGTGCTAAGAATTGAAATGTTAACTACAAACACAATAATAGTCTGCACAGGACTATTGTGTTATGTTACTGTCCCAGCTTTTTTTTAAACCTTTGACTAGAATATGATGTCATGGGAGCCAGGAATTGCAAAGCAGTGTAACCAGATAACTCTCACAATTCCCACAACATTTTACTGTGTTTGTCATAGGTTGTTTTTTGTTTTGTCTTTTAAATCAAAACTGACTTCCTTCATACTAATACAGAGGATGCCGGTTAAAGAATCTCTCATATTGTTCATTTAAAGGTAGCCTTTTGTTTTGGACATAATGTGATTGCTAAAGATGAATATTTTAAGTCTGTGGTTTTTGACTGTCTTTACAGGTAATGTTTATAGGTGCTCCTTGAAAATGTGATGCAAGAAGAATTCTGAGTTGGGTGGGACCATGCTGTAGGGCATTTGTGAGCCCAAGTCCCAGAATCTACTAATCTGCACTAAGGAATGAGTGTGAGGCATGGTTGGATCGTAGGATTCCCCTGAACCTGAGTTAACTCATGTATTGACAGTCCTGATGAGAGCTGTAGATTGGGAAGATCATGTTAAATATGAATAAAGTTTGTGCTATACTGTTTTATTAAAATGAAGCAGCTTCCTTTATTTAGAACTGAAATACTGCAAAAGTGAAACACATTAGCATGGAAATATGCCTATGTTTATATTAGCCCCTAGGTTTCTGTGTAGTATGTACATTTTTCCAGATTTTTGTTAGAGATTCCATTCTATCTGACTGCAAGGAAGATGTAAACCATTCTGATATTATATAGTGACGAAAATAAGTGTTCTGAAATGAAGATGAGAGCTAAAAATTAAAATTCTGGATAGACATGCCAGGTCTTTTAAAAAAGTAACGTTGGAATTCTGGATTTTCATTTTCTTCAATCAGCAGTTTGGTTTTCAGATGCAAACTTTTGCTCTGTGTTGTAATATTCATGCTAGTAAATGCCTTCTCCCTTGCTTTTAGTGGAGTGCCCTGTTTGTGAGGTTGCTATTCCAGAACAATACATAAACAAACATCTGGATGGCTGCTTGACAAGAGGAGAGAAGAAGGACAGCCTCAGAAGGTAAGAAGCAACTTTAAGAACTTTTACATGCATGTAGCCATTTGTCTGCACTGCTGAAATAAGAAATATTATTTGATGGGTTATTATACAGTAGATTGTGTTTGTTTCTTGGTTACCTGCTGTATAGATCGCTCTAAAATCCCTGTATGAATATGATAGTGGTGATTTTCTCCTCAAGAAAGTATGTGGATTGCCAGCAAAATTACTTTTTGGCTTTTAGTGGCGAGAAAACACTCGACAGTGTTTTGAAGAATTCAACACAGGGACTAAAACTTAGTCTGTCCATTATTCTCACCATGTTCCTGCTCACTAGCGTTAAAATTCTACTTAGATAACACTTATTCCTATTTTTTACTTGATGAATTAATCACTTCCATCAATTCAGATGGGTCAAAATAGAATTCCTTCACTAGATGTCAAGTTAAAAAATAAAAACTGCACCTTACTCTGCTCAGTGTGGTTCTTTTCAAGTTGCCACAGTCAAGGTTGTTTCTTTAAGATCTCAATTCCCACAGATTATTGCGTGCCTTTGACTTTATGCTTCCGCCCTAGAATTTGTCACGGTCGCCACATTCACATCAGAAGTATAGATTTCAGTTTGTTTTACTTGCTAGCATAAATTTAGGCCATTACTATTTCTAACTGATCAGACAAGAACTGTGAGGGTTTTACTGCATGCTTGTATTTCCAATTCCTCCAAACCTTGAATTAGAAAGTAATTTTATGCTAAAGCTCTTATTTTGCCCAGTCGTGCTTCGAATGCAATCTATAAGCTAGAGGACTTTGAAGTTAAATACGTGGTAAATTAATACTATAATCTGATGTTACATTTTAATTTTAATTTGGGATGCTTTTAGTGTCTTCTCTGTTCTTCATGGATGGAAATAAAAGCCAAATCTTTATTTGGTGTTAAGTCCATGTCCCTAACAGAATTTGAAATTTTGCTTATTTTACTTAGACTGCTTGAATCTTAAGAAAGTATCGTGCAAGATACTTCTCCTTCAGGACTGGCTACTGTGTGTTAAATGCTGGCTTTTTGGCAATGTACTTGTTTTATGGCAGTGTTGTTTGGGTTTCAGGAACAGCACGCTTCTAGTTCTCCTCTGAGGAATTCTAGCTCTGTTTGTTCGCAACATAGCAGGCCATGTGCTCCTGCTTTAACAGTTGAGCAGTATTTCAGTGGTGCTGATATTTTAATCCCCCAAACCTGCACAGGAGTAATTACAACAGGTAAGCATGTGTTCACAAAGAACACTGCATTTCTCAAAGATGGGAAAAAATGCCACCTGCAAACGTTTAAGATTCAAAACTAGTGAATTGTTTTCATGTATCTGTCTGCTCACACAGCTGTCATCGCTCTTCTAGGTCATGCTGCTGGTGAATTACAGTACATACAAAGCTTTTTCAGGACTTAGAGTTTTAATTATTCAATGATTTTTTTTATATTTCCCCAAAGAATCTGAAAAAAGTCTTCTCCTGAAGAGTGTATTGTGGTAATGAGTCTTTTTTTTTTTTTTTTTTTTTTGCCAGCTATGCTACAAGGGCTATGTGAGAGTACATTAATGACAATTTTTGTGTAAGCCTTATTAAAAAAAAAAAACTTTTATATTTATTTTCAGTGTGATAAATTGAAGGTGCTGAATAAAGTTTTAAAATGTCTCTTGCTTTCACAATGGAAAGCTGTTAACTTCTCTGTAATTCAGAGCAGTGTAGCTGAACTTCATTTTGCTGCAGGAAGACAAGTGTCTAACTGAATGCTGTTCTTCTGTAACTGGTGGATTTTGTAAGTCGAAGCAGACGAGCGAGGCAGTAGATGGATTTTGGTACCTTTGTTGGCTAGTTGGAGTGTTATTTCACCAGGAGGTGTAGGGCTGACTGAGCTCATTTGTGCAGAAGGAAGCTGTTCTGTGAATGTTAGATGACAAAAGTTGTGGTAGGACTTGAATTGTCTATGGCAGTTTTCTGTGATTAAGGTGCTTTCCCTAGCTATGCCAGGAATGTTGAGTTCTGACATAAGGCAGTGTGAAGGAGTAAGTTTTGAGTTTAGATGCTATTTATCCGAGAGCACTATTATTTCTGTTTAATGCCACTTTCTGTATTACCAAACTACCCTTCTGTTAGATGGGAACTACAGATTTGCTTTCAGGTTCATGACTATCTCGCTCAAAGTCATTTTTTCCAGAAAGCTGAGAAATCTAATTCAAGTTTTGGCTTGCAGTTTTAATGCTTTTAAAACTTCACGAACTCATTCAGGTAAGACATGGCCAGTACTTGGGTAGAAACCGTGTGTTTCAGCAATCTGAATTTGGTACATTTCCCTTTGAATTCAGGGCAAATGTGGGGCTTGAGCCTAATGAAGATGAACAATACTGTGTTTGCTGCTGTGATTCTGAAGCCTTTGCTGTAGATATTAAAAACTGAGCTGCAGTGCTTGTTACATGAGGAGTGTGTGCGTCATCTCTTAAAGAAAATCAGACTAGACCTATTGCTTTCTGCACGTTTGAAATTTTCTTTCTGGTAGATGGAAAAAGTCTTCTGGCTTCCTGGAGCTGTTGCATCGGTGATACCCTGTGTAATTGATTGTGTGTTTGTCATGGCTGAAATGATTCTTTCGGGTATTTCTCACCCAGAGTGGGTAAAATACCTTTTAAAAATGCAAGTCGGTATTTTGATTTTCATAGGAGTATTAATTAAAAAAAGTTTGTTTCCTTTTGCAGTTCAGCTCTCAAAAGGAAGCCTATGTCTAAAGTTGTTTACAACTTGCTCTCTGATCGTGATTTGAAGAAGAAACTAAAGGAACATGGACTGTCTACCCGTGGGACCCGACAGCAGCTTATTAAAAAACACCAAGAATTTGTGCACATGTATAATGCTCAGTGTGATTCTCTAAATCCCAAATCAGGTAGGTTAGAAATTCTAAGAGAGTTGTTACCATTGCAGACCATTTGTATGCATTTTTCCTTCTCGTAGTTCTCAGGGGAGGAATAAGACTGGTTTGAATATTTGGGAAAACTGGAGCTGGAAGAATTTATCTTACAGAAATCAAGATTCATGCAAAAAAAGGAAATTTAATGAAAACCAGAAATGTGTTGCTATACTCTGGAAGTATCCAGCAAGGATATATGTTTGTGTTGAATTTCTTTGATACTGCCTGGTTTACTAACCCTGTTCTGAAAAATGTTTTGTGTTTTTATTGACTTTGCATTTTAATGAGTGCTTCCAAATTAGACTGAGGCTTTAGTCAAAAAATTGGAAATACCTGAGGTTCTTAGTAAGTGAATGGATTATTAATTTATCTTCTGTTCTGAATTTGTTCTCTTCCTCCTATACACTGAGACTTTTATGTTTTTATTGGATTTAATTTCAAAATCAGATTTCTTTTTGGAGATGATAGATAAGGGTAGAATGGATTAAGAAGAAAGAGTTAATGTTTTGCTGGAGTTTATATCAATTTAGGTGTTTGGCAGCAATTTTATACAATTGAACTCAGACTATATGTAGCATGAAATGGCTCTGTGGGATAAGGAGAGTATGTTTTTGTCTCTAATGCGAGTGCAATATAAACTTCCTTTAAACAGTGGTCTGTTGTTTGCATGTGCTTAGGCTTAATGCTTGGAAAACGCCGGGGCAGGAACAGGGAGGATGAGATCCGAGTAGGGAATTTGTGCTGCTTGGTTCTGTAGGCAGTGTGGCCATTTTAAAAATTTTGAATAGCATGTATGAGCTAGAGGGACAACTGTCCCAGCTCATCTTGTATTTTATTTTATGCAAGATGAAAATATACATCTCTAAAACGATGTGCCGTTCGTCATCTCTCAGTTCAGTTCTGCAAGTGACACAAGCAACAGCACAAATATACTGCTGGGAGTGGGCGAGAGATGGGTTTATAGTTATTTTTTTAATTATTTGATTAGAAGCTTATGGCAAACAGTCCTTCTAAAGAGCTTTCTAACAGGCTCACGTTCTGATACTGCTCTCCTGGGAGCTCTCCTCTGGCTGGGTTGCATGCTCTGCGCTGGGTGCAGGACGTAGGCTGTGCTCTGCCAGGGCAGTCCTGCTGCGCGCAGCGAGATGAGGAGTGCCGTCCCCACCCTGGGTTTCATCTCTCATTTCTGTGGGCGCAGGGAGACCGAAGCCCTGAAGCACCGGTTCACCATTTCTTCCAGAAGTTGTAAAGAATTCTGAATGTTTTTGCATGTATTGAAGGGCTCAGAAACTATTTGGACCAGACACCATTTTGGTCTCAGTGGCAGCAGCGGGACTGTGAGGTGTTTATTTCAAATGAATATTAAAAGCTCATACATTAACTCCGTGCACATGTGGGTTTACGTGTGATCGGACTGTTGGAAATGCTGAATATCCACAACTTCTCCTGTGGCATTTCAAAAATAAAAGTATGTTCTTTTATTGAACAGGCAAAGCCACCAGATGTGGGGCTTTTTGAAAAATGAAGTCAGTCACTGAGGACTATAAATACAAATTTAGCACCTAAACTTTAGGCTCCTGCTTTCTGAAATCTTGATTTCACTTGCCAGCTCTTGGCTTCGATTGTGGGAGCAGGTCTATGAGAAAAGTGTTTGCAGTCAGCGCTGTTTGCCTTTTCATTTTGCTCCTTTAAGCATTTTAAGAACTTGACTGAGAAGGCTAAGTGCCTAAGTGGTTTAGGTGCCAAGTGTTACTGCTTAGTTTGTGCCTAAGCACTTATGAAAATAAACATAAATGTTTCCAGAAATTGTTTTTTAGGACTTCAGAAAGTCTCTGGGACGAGAACCAGCACACAGTTAAGATTGTGTTTGACTTCAGCAACGATAGAAGTTTAGGAAGCTCGTTGTTTAAGTCTGTGAGAACAGCACTTCTGTCAGAATTTCAATCCTGCACGATTTATGTTAATTTGGGAAGTTTAATTAATCACTGTGAGCCCCTCCCTGGGTTCCCCCAGCAGCAGGAATAGTTGTAAAGCCGCTGTGGGCCGTGGAGGTACGCTCTTGTCCGGCGGCTCAACAGGAACGGGGGCAGGTCTGAAGCAAAGCGGGGAGTGGGCTGGTGCGGAGCGAGGGGCGGTGGGTGCTGGTTCTGCAGGGGCCCTGTGTCTGCTCTGGGCGAGCTGGAGCTGGTGCTGGTGCTGTGCAGGATGGGTGCTGGTTCTGCAGGGGCCCTGTGTCTGCTCTGGGCGAGCTGGAGCTGGAGCTGGTGCTGTGCAGGATGGGTGCTGGTTCTGCCGGGGCCCCATGTCTGCTCTGGGCGTGCTGGAGCTGGTGCTGGTGCTGTGCAGGATGGGTGCTGGTTCTGCCAGGGCCCCGTGTCTGCTCTGGGCATGCTGGAGCTGGTGCTGTGCAGGATGGGTGCTGGTTCTGCCGGGGCCCCGTGTCTGCTCTGGGCATGCTGGAGCTGGAGCTGGTGCTGGTGCTGTGCAGGATGGGTGCTGGTTCTGCCAGGGCCCCGTGTCTGCTCTGGGCATGCTGGAGCTGGAGCTGGAGCTGGTGCTGGTTCTGCAGGGGCCCTGTGTCTGCTCTGGGCGAGCTGGAGCTGGTGCTGGTGCTGTGCAGGATGGGTGCTGGTTCTGCAGGGGCCCCCTGTCTGCTCTGGGCAAGCTGGTGCTGGAGCTGGTGCTGGAGCTGGAGCTGGTGCTGTGCAGGATGGGTGCTGGTTCTGCAGGGGCCCCGTGCTGGTTCTGCAGGGGCCCCGTGTCTGCTCTGGGCGTGCTGGATCTGGAGCTGGTGCTGGATCTGGAGCTGGTGCTGGAGCTGGATCTGGTGCTGGAGCTGGATCTGGAGCTGGTGCTGGAGCTGGATCTGGAGCTGGTGCTGGATCTGGAGCTGGTGCTGGATCTGGAGCTGGTGCTGGTGCTGGAGCTGGATCTGGAGCTGGTGCTGGAGCTGGTGCTGGAGCTGGTGCTGGTGGTGGTGCTGTGCAGGACGGGCGGTTCCGTGGGCTGTGCGGGGGGCACTGGGCTCCCCGGGCCGTGCTTTGGCTCAGGCTGCTGAGTAGCAGCACCGCGTCCCTGCCTCGCTCGCCCCAGCTAGCTACCTGAAGAGCTTCCCGGAGTGTTGGTGCGCCTTAGCCCGCCCGCCCTAATCGCTGCAGAGCTGGGGCTCGGTGCTGGCTCAATACCCATTTATAAAGGGCGAGTTATTAAACTCGCACTTGAGGTGCAGCCATGCGTTTTCAGTGGTAGCAGTGAACCGGAGGGCACTCTATAATACGGATAGCTGAGCGTCTGAGGAAACACGGGTGCCAAGTTGCTGGATTTTGCTTAAACTGGTTTTGAACAGGTCTCATTCCTTCACAGTTTAGTAAGCTTTTGTTCTCTGGCTGCTTTACTGTGGCTACTTTACTGTCTAGTGAAAGTGTGTGTCTTAATAAATACCCGTAGCTACTTAGTAGCTCTGCGAAAGCTGTTAAGTGTAGAAACAGATTTGTAAATGTCAAAATAGCAGTAGTTTTAGTTACAATGTTAACACACAGTTTTGTCTGTTTATATATTTGTGAGCTGTCTAACCCGATTGTTAGAGTAGGTTGTGGTTCCTCTTTGGACTATGGGTTTTGGACATAAGCCTGCAGAGAGGTTTGTGTTGCCTTGGGAGGTCGTCCTTGGAGGTGAAAGCAAGCTAAAGAGTAGATGTCATTATTTTATCTTCCATTGAAAGACACATTAGAAAATGGAAACACTTTTATAAAAAAGACATGCCCACACACCACAGAAACACTACAGTGTGCTAGAGTAAGAGTCGGATATGATTTGAAAAGACTCCTTTTTGCCATGAATTTGATACAGAGGAGATGAGAGCAATGGCCCAGGAGGTGGCTGAGAGCCTGCGGGCTCGGGGCTTGCTGGGTCTGGGGGCTTGCTGCGGGACTCCTCGGCTGAGGCCCACGGCTCTGCTGGGCACGGGTGTAAAACCATCCCCTCGGGAATCGCCCCTGCGTGGGGGACAGGTTTGCGCTGCTGGAGAGCTAATGCTGGTTTGTCTCTGCATGATTTAAATTCATGGCGGTTTCATTCAGCGCTATTAGCTCTTTTTATTTAAGAGCTCCTGTTTTAGTGAGCCCCTTCTTGTATTTTCAAACAGTTGCAGAGGTCGTTCAAGAGCTGGAAAAGAATGAGAAGATTCGGATTGAGCTTGAATTTAATAAACCCAGTGAAAATGTGAGTTAATTATCTTTGTTCTCAAAGAAGGGGGGTGGCTAGGGGAAATCGCTGCGTGGGCACTGAGCATGTTTGCCTGTCACTTTACTATGGGAACTCCCAGGTTGCATGTTGGAATTTGCATACACCATCTTACAGTCAACATGATTTTCTCATACCAGTCATTTGTCATGGGCAGTTCTTTGTGTTCTATGCCTGAGCCATCTGAGTAGGGGCATTTTTTTGATTGCAGTAAAAACTCTTCAGAAATGTTCCTCTTGGTCACATTGGAGGATTCTGACCCTCCATGGCAGCGTGGGGAATATTTTGCTTCCTAGAATCCTCTAGGATTTAGCAAGTAAATTCCTTGCTTCTGTATCAGCAATAGTGCCTGTTCTTTTCCCATAACATATGATACTTTTGTGACTTTTGGAGCATGTTTGTTGCACACTATTAGGTAATACTTTATGGTCCACACATGCTGGGTGTTATATGGGCTGCCTTGGCTCTAGACCTGTTGACTTTGTGAAAGCAAAGCAAAACAGCGTATGTACTTTAAATATATACTACTGTCTGTGGATGCGACAGTAAGAGCTGGTGGGGGGAAACAGGCAGCTGATCCCTCTAGTTTTAACGTATGTAGTTTTATCAACCTTTTGTTTCTGTAAATAAACATTTGTATGATTTCTGTAGATCTTGACCTTCACAAAGGACCAGACAGAGGAAGAAATAGATGAGATCCACACTGACTATCGTAAGTAATACGCAAGTTTCACTTAATTTTGCTTTTAAATTCACCTTGTTTTCCTTTGTACCAAAATATACACACAAAAGTGATGCTTTTCATGTGTGTGTCCTTCCCCTGCCCCCAATTTAATACATCAAAGCTGGAAGTTCTCTGTTGGGGCTGAAACTACCTCTTTGAAACTCAGCTTCCATTAAGTACTGCCACTTGCCAAAACTCACTGCCAGGGCCGGATAACACTGAGATGGAACCTGATTGCCTCCTTAGCACACCGCCGCTTCTACCTGCCCTCTTAACCCTCCTCCTGTGCGCGTTGGACATAAAGAACAGCAGAGTAGCATTTTTGTGTCTCCCGGGCTGGATGTGTGATGCGTGGTTGTACGATTTCGCTGGGAACCCTCAGGGAGAAGCAAGTTGCAGAACCTCTCTGAGGTTCCAAGACCCCGGCAGCGTGGGGCCCCGCCGGGCTGCCACCTGGAGCGCGAGCTCCGTTGCAGCGTCCTGCGCTGCGTGAGACCCGTGCAATTCTTGCTGTGCTGGCTTTGAAGAGCAGTCGTGGCTGCAGTGAAGGCTGATCGTGCTTTGCTTGTGAGATTGCACCCTTCCTTGCCCCAGATTTTTTGGCATGTTCTGAGAATAATCTGAATTACTCAGCGGTTCATGTAAATTGGTTAATTTGTTTGCCGGTTCTGTGCTTTGTTAGAACTTGGAATTGCAGCATATGAATATGTCTGTATTAAGTCACTCGTTGTAAAAAAGCAGCTTATTACCTACTATTGTGTCTCTCTGAACAATGGCATGGACTCCTGAATATTTTTATACGTGTAGAATTTTCTTAGCCTTGGGTTTGATGTTGTTTTCTCCCTTTGTTGAGGTTTTGGGCACGGTATGACTCCTGCCCTGCAGGCAGCTCTGCTGGCTGTGAGCCCTTGGGGCCGCTGCAGAGACAGGGAGCGTGCGGGGCTGGCAAGGTGGGGTGAACGCTGGCTGTCCTGGCCCTGCACTCACCAGTATATACCCAGTAACACAGATCCTGGGTTCTCCTCTTACTCAGATATTCCCTTCTCCCCTACGCTCGTAATGATCAGACATTGGCTTTATTTAAAATGCACCTGTATTCTGCGTGGTGGTTGGTCTTCCCAAGTCCTCTAACTCATCCTGTAGCAGATATGTTTGTATAAATTTACTCTTTCTATACCTTATTTTTTAGGTTTGGTGTTCAGTGCAGAGTGACATTAACGACAAGCAATGTAGCCACAGTAGTTTAATACGGCATTTCTGAAATTCTCAATGGCTGCATGTGAGCTCAGTAGTGAGTTCTTTACACTTCTAAGTTGTCCAAGTGGCCAAAAAGTATATTTTAACTGAGCTAAAAATGCTTTTCCATTATTTTATGTGTATACCGCAATTCTCACCTCACCCAGGGTTTCACAGTGCTCCTCACTTTCGCTCCCTTCCTTCCTACCCCTCTCCAAAAGCACTCGCAGGTTCATTCTCCTTCCTGCACCCTTTCCTGCTCTCCCCTCCCGCCCAGCCCCGGGGTTCTGAAGCAATCTCTTACAAAGCATACTCTGCTCCTTTGAGCTCTTCCCCTCCCTCCTGTGTAGGCAGCTGGGATTCAGTGCAGACTGGGTCATCTTTTTTATGGTTTTGTTGTTGCGGATTGTTTCCTTTTTTTTTTTTTTTTTCCATACTGAGTTCCCTCTGTGTGTGCAAGGAACCAGTGCCTGTGTTGGTTATTAAACCTGCTTCTGCCCTGACAGAATAACAGCATTTGTTCTGGGAAGTGTAGCTGGAGTAAATATTTAAGGGAAAGAAGAGACAAAAATTAAGAAAAATATCTCGGGGAGAGCTATAGTTCAATAATACAATTTTGTTTGGTGGGGGGGACCTTTTTTTTTGTATTTTTTGGGGGGGGGTTGTGTGGTTTTTTTTTTTTTTTTTTTTTTGATGGTGGGGTTTTTTTGTTGGTTTGTTTTTCGTTTGTTTTGTTTTTTTTTTTCAACAGAGAACTGATTCCTACTTAACTTGAGCCTGGGAAAGCACCGTATTTTAAACTGTCATTTCCTTACTGTATGATCAAATTTGAGAATAATGTTTTCTCTATGGAACCATCTAACTATCTTTACGGTTAGTTTAGAAGCAAATGTTCGTGTGAGTGGTGAAGATTACAGGACTTGCATCCTATTGTAGTAATTTAGTAAAGAAAAGGCTAATGATTTTTTACAGATGACTTTCTGACCCTTCTTGGTTTGTTTGTACATCAGGTTTTAAATCGCATTGCTTTGCACTTAGCTCCCTAGTGGTGTTTTATTATTCACAGTTTCTTTCCTGTTGTTTCCTACTCGCTTTGCTTCACCTGCGCGCTGCTCGCACCCCCAAACGTGGTGGTTAGCCATGTAACGTTAAAACAGCATTCAAAGAACGTTAAACTTCTCTGCTTTGAGCCACAGAGGAGCAAAGCAACGAAGGGACAACTTGTTCTGATTATACTTAAGGGTGTATTTAAATCTGCAATATGGTCATATTTCCTGTGTTTCCTTGCGTTGCTTCAGGCGTATAAATTACTCCATAATGCAGCTAGATTTAGCCTTGTTGATTTTAGTTGCGTTTCTCTGAAGGCTAAATAAGGGCCTAAATCTTTAGCAAATTTTTCCCTTGCTTTTTGTTGCCGTTCCTGAGAAAATATATATATTTTTAAGCGTACATGCACTGTTTGTGATTTTTAATCTTAAGCATTCGCCTCGGATTCCAAATAGTTGGTTAATAATTCTTCTCTTGCCATGCAGAAATCTCTAGCAATAAAAAGAAACAAGCAAACCAACCAACCAAAAAAACCCAACCAAGAAGTAAGATACTTTAAAAAGTATTAATCCCAAATTGGGTGTTTTTCCCCGGGGGGGCTTTAGTAGCCCTGGAAAGACCAAATCCGAAGTTCAGGGAGGGGGGGAGGCCCGGGGCGCGGGGCAGGTGCCTTGTCGCCAGCCGCTCCGCTCCTGCCGAGCAGGGGCTGCCCCGGGGCGGTGCCGGGGCCCAGCCGGCGGGGAGCAGGGCCCCCCCCTCCCTGTCCCGCAGCCCGGGAGCGTTTGGGGGTGCCGGGGGGTGGCCCAGGAGCTGCCGCGGGACGTGCCGCTCCGGCGCGGTGCCGCAGGGTGCGTCGCAGGGCCGTGCTGTCCCGGAGAACTGAGCCCGTACTAGAGACCCGCTTGACTTGCTTTTTGAAACATTTCGGACGTGCACCGAGCCCCTCGGAAGGCTGGAGCCCTCCTTGCCTTCCCGTGGCGACCTGGCGAGCGGTCGGACTGCGTCACTGGGCTGGGGGGCGGGAGCGGGGCCCCCCCAGCCACCTCCACGCTGCGGGCCTGGCGTTGCCTGACCTTCCTCTTGCTCTCTTGATCTGTTGTATGCTGTCTTAATTTTCTGAAAGTGGGTAATTTACTGAGTTTATATTGTTAAAAGGCCATGACTTCAAAATTACCAAGATCTCCAAGTGAATAAATTTTACTCGGGCATCTTAATTGAACATTTAAAGGTCTCAAAAAAAAAAAAAAAAAAAAAAAGAAAGAGGAAAAAAGAGAAGATAGAAAAATATTTTAATGGGAACATATGGTTTTAAAATTAATAAAAAGTGATAGCCAAAGAGGTAAATGTTAACTAATGTCAGCAAATGATTCCTCATAAAAGCAATAGGGAAGAAATCATAAGCATGAAGGAAGAATTTTACATTAAAATTAGAGGACAGAGATTAAAAGAACTTTTGTCAAATGTCATTTTTTCACTGTAGCACAGATGGACTTTAAAAAACTGTATGATACCATGAAGGGTTTTTTTTCCTTTTAATTTACAATACTTGCCCCTTAGGTCCCTAATTCACAGCTGAGTTAATGAATTAATTAACTCTGACATATTTTCTGATTAAAAAACCCCAACCATACACTTTTTGTTGTGTATGAACATGTTTCCATATGAAACACACAACGCACTGGTGTTACAAAACAGCCTTGTTGAAAAGCAAGATAAAACCTTTCTCCTTCTTTTCTTTACAATTTCCCAGGATCCTAGCAAATTGCAAATGATATTGGTGGTACTTTTTTTTGTGTGTGTGAAGAGTTTTTGAAATAGCAATTAATATCTTTGGCTCGATGAACTTGAGGGTGGTTTATATGCCAGCTGGAAGCTTTGCTTGAGCACCTGCCCCGCTCGGTGGGTACGATTAAATGCACTGTCCCCTGCAGCACCTTCCTTCTGCTCCTCGGGAGCTCAGTGGCACCCTCAACCCCATGTCAACCTCATTCTACTTTTTTTTCATGGTCAGGCCTCTATTTAAGGGAGTTAAAAAAATCTACAGGAGAAGAGATAAATTAAAAAAAAAAAGGTAGTCATAAATCTTGTAATTTGCAACATTATTCGGAGGCTTACTGATTTATCTCTTGAGTTTTAAATATTTGTAATTGTATCTGCAGTTTTATTATTGAAATGCCTGGAGTTTTATGAAATGTGTGTGGTATGTCATTTCAGCACAGCGATGATTTACAGCATATCCCAATAGTGCCTTGTTTTGCCAGGATGTTTTTTTTTTTTTTTACATGAAAAGCTTTGTAGTTACACCATAGAGCAAAACAACAAAAAATAGTAATACTGGAAAAACTGAAGCACCAAAGGAATTACGTAATGAATGTGCAGCGGCTTAAACAGAAGGATCTGGGACAAGAACTTTCTTTTTATGAAAAGAGTTGTTGACCTTATGTGGCGTTTTCAGCTACGCAGGGAGAGGGAGTCGGTTCTAAATCTGTTTCCTTCTGTGGGGCAGGACTCGATAGGATTTTATCTTGGCTTTTCCCCGCTCCCACCGCCGCAGCAGGACGCAGGTGTGGGTTAGGTGCAGCGACGATTTACGCGTGCGGCGAGGGGTGTCTGTGCCCAGGGGGATGCCGAGGCCGGGCGGTGCTGTGGGGAGACGTGTCGTGGTGGAGGTCTTGAGGTCAGGGGTGCTGGGGGGGGGGGGAAGCCAGACCCCACGGCCGGGCTGGGAGAGGGGGGGCGGCAGGAGGGGGGCGGAGAGGGGGAGCCTCGTGGGTTGGAAACGCGGGGAGCAGCCAGGCTGCAGCCGCGGGGAGGGTCGGGTTGTTCCTGCCTCTCCCCCCCCTCCCTGCAGAGGAAGAGGAGGTAGTTCAGAGACTGATGTGAAAAAAAAAGGAAAACAGAAGCAAACAAGCAAGACAGAAAAGTTCTGAGGGAGTTCTTTGTTTCAGCCGAGCTCCGAGTTGGGGTCTAAGCGCCCCGATTCACCAGGCCATTGGCTTTGCTGCCGCCGGTTGGGCGCTGCTCTCGGTGCTGGTGGTGTGCTGGGAAGCGTGTGCGCGCCCGCAGTGCGGGGCGGGCCCGGCTGGGCTGGCTGGGTGGAAGGTGGCCCAGTTTGCCCCTTGCTAGCCCTCGGCTCTCTATCCTGAGGATTCCCGTTCGCTTTGCCGCCCATCCTCTGTGCCGGGGTTTCTCTTCGTCCTTCCTGCACATGTAACGGGGCAGCGCGCGCGCGGCGTTTGCCGGGCGGAGACTTGAAGCCGCCTTCAGCTCCGTGGGAGCAGGGAGGGAGGAGAGGCAGTGGTGTGCGTGGGGCAGGGTGTGCTGCCCTTTCCCGGGCAGCTGCTCTGCGTGGTCCGTGGCCGTAGCGCGGCGGCGGGGAAGCTTCCCTGGCAGCGTGCCGCCCGCCTTCTGCTCGGGGCGCCGGGGGGAGTACTTTACCTGAACTACTTTGAGAAACACAATTGGCCTTTTGAGACAGAGTGATGTTTTGTTGAAAGTCCTTCCAAAAAAATGGAAATTCGTTTGCTGCCTTCACTGTACCATATCCATATAAAGCCAGGCTTATGGACTGATAGAGCTTCATGATGTGTTGCCTGTGGGTAGCTACAGTCAAATATGCTGTTTCAGTAGAAGCTGGTGTGTTCTGTCGGGAAAACAACGTGTTCCCTTCGTGCCCAGTGAGGGCCAGGTAATCTGCATCGCCTGTCTGAGGACACTGGGTATTTTCCCAGCCTAAGTAAAGAATTTGAATTATCTAGATTAAAAAACAACATTGCTTTAACTGAATACCAGAGGATTGCTTAAAACGTACTAAGCTATAGGAAGTGCAAAGCATATGCCAAAGAGCAGTTAACTGTGATTCAGAGGATCTGAATCAAACCAGTATAATAAGCATGACACAAAAGCTCTCGACATTGCTTTACTGCAGGAACGGGGGAAAAAACCCAAAGCGACTTTAAAGCAATTGGCAGAGTAGTCATGAGATTTTACTCTCTCTAGCAGAGTGCTCCTTGCAGGACTACCCAGAACTAAACCATATGACTAAGAGCATTGTCTGCATGCTCCTTGAGCTCTGACAGGCTTGGTGCCACGACTACGATATTAAATGTTGTCACAATGGTAATTGCAATACTTAACAAGTTTAGGGGAAAAAAAGATAATATAAAGAAGAAAGAAACACAGTTCTTCTGGGCAGAAATTAAGTTTTCATCTGCGCAAGTGTTCTTGACCGCTGAGTGACTGTAAAAGCATAGACACAGTTTTGGATCATTAACAGAATATGGAACACTGCAGTGATGAGTTTGTTTTTATCTACTGTAACAAAAATGTCTTTAATTCAGTATTTTGTGTTTATTTCTGTTCACGTCCTTTTCGTTTTTTATGCTATACCTGAAGAGTTCTGTGGCAATGGTCAGTAATGCACTGTTACATTTCAGGAAAGAAACACAGAGATGAATTCCAGTTTTTGGTGAATCAGATAAATAGTCGGTGGAAGAAAAGTGGCAAGAGGAAAACAGAAAGTGCTCAAAACAAAGAGCAAGTCACTGTCGAAGAATTGCCACCAGCCACAGGTTAGTAATATTGTTTGATACAGTCCCCCTCTTCGATCCACGCTAACGAGTAGGAGGTTTCCCAAAGAAATGCTCTTTCCTCCCATTGTTCTCCCACAGCCCTTAAGGGGAAAACAAAAAGCATGAAAATCAAACAGACCCTAGAAAGATTGACTGCCATTGATTTTAGTGTGATACATAAGCACAGCCCGTCATGAATATAGGATTCGTTTGATTTGAATGGGATTGTGTGTAGATGTGCTTTATTTAGGTGCAAATTTTAATTAGCTGGTTGAAATGGGATCTTGTGTTCCAATCCAAATCTACTGAAGTTGCGGAGAGTGGGCATGTGGCAATCTGCACCTGTAAGATGAAGGTGGGCATGGGTATCAGCTTTCCTGTATCATTAATGTGATAGGGAGCCAATAATTTGGGACTGCAAAGGTATTTGTGTGGATTGGAACAAGTATTTATTTATCCCGAGGTTGAAGCAATAAAATACTTCAGCTTCTTTCAGACTGTTTATACAGTATATTGCCTCTCTTTTTTTTTGTGTGTTTATATATGTCAACACAGTGAAATGTGGGAATGCAGAGCTGCAGTTACTCAGTTCTTTGAGTTAGGAACAACATCTAGCATATGTTTGTTATCCTCACTACCCACAGCATCAAAGAAATACCCACGTGTGCTTTTAACTTGTTCCCTATAGGCTTGTGCACTCTCATTTGGTTTATGTGACTGGCCGCTTTGGCAGTGTACATATATCTTTGAACGTGTGATTTAGAAGAGCATTCCTCAACCTAATAAAACTTGTGGAATTATAATCTGTTCAAGACACTGAGTTTTGGAGAGAATTCCATTGCCCGGAATTGGATGCACTGTTGTTATCCTTGGGAAAGCGTGGCAGTTCAGTTTGCATCAGCTCTCACAAATCCCTGCTCTCCTGAGTTGAGCTGAACTCATCAGGGGCTGTTTCCTCTAGCATACTGTTCATAATAGTATGAATTTTATCCTTACCGTTTCATGCAGACCTTGATGCAACTCATAATCACTGCCATGTGAAGGGTAAAAAATTAAGGAATCTCAAGGTAAAGTTTATCTTGTTTGACATAATTTACATTGCATTACAGAAGCAGTGTGTTGTTAGATGATGGGATCACAGACTTTGAAATATTAATGTCTGGCTATGCTCTGTGGAGAGATTGGCTACTATGAATTACTGGGTTTCTGTCTTCTGTGTAAGACTTTTCTTTCTGCACTGAACAGCAGACTTTGAGAAGCTGAAGTAATGCCATATATGTTTTCTAAAAGAGTGCTCAGGTAGAAAATAACTTATATCAGGCGTGCCATCCTGTATCACGTTGACTGAGGGACATGATACCACCTTGTCTGGTTCTGACAAACCTGCAATATTTTCATTATGCTTTTTGTGCACTGAGCTTTCAACAATCTGAAATTCCCGTTTCTAGTTTTATGCCAAACATCTGCACCTGGTGGACTGTAAGCCACTGAACAAAACAAGATGATGATTTATGAGTGAAGGAACAGATGCCTAAAGCCTGTTTCCTCAGTGTTCCTTATTAACAGCAATTACCTTTTCATTACACTGAAAATTATAATACGTGAAAGGAGGAAAGCCAGCAGTGGTCTGATGACTTGCCGTTTGAAAGCATAACTGTTGAGAAGAGCAAAGGCTTGTATGCATTCCTTGCCCACTTTATTTGGATTCTCATGGAAGTAGTGGAATTGTACAGACTTAAAACATACTTTTGTGTTGTTTTTTTTTTGTTTTGTTTTTTTTTTTTTTTAAAAAAACCCTTTATATTTCTCATTGCACTCTGTTGTAGTACTGGTTGGTGTAACATAAATCCTGAAAATCTCGCTCTGTTTTTGGTGATGTTTTAATCATCAGTTCCTGATTTACCTCATCTTCTTTTGCATATTTAAACTTAAAATGTTCGATTTTCAGTCTTTATATTTTATAACTTTTAAACATAAGGTTTTGCTTTGCCTAAGGGGAAGCACCATAAGAATTTGATAAATACCTGTGATACACCTCTTCTGGGTTCCATTATTGCACAGGCCCTTTGCTATTTTTAACCTGTTCATTTTAGAATAATGTTTCATTAGTTGGACAGCTGACTCACTGTAATCTGCCAGTTGTTTTCAACAGACAAAAATATTTAATTATGCATTTTAGTGGAAGGGAAAGGGCAAGCTGTAGCTGAATTCAGAGACTGTATAGCTCCTCCACACTCTAATTACAGTTCTGTTTGGCCATTTCTGTCAAAATCATTCCTGGAGGGGTAGAAAAGTCCAAGGGGTTTGGGCGGGGGTATAGCTTGGTTCGTGGGGGTGGACAGAACACTTCTGTGCATGGCCATAATAAGGGTTATTCATGAGATGAGTCTCGATACGGTTTGAATGTCCTGTGCAACTTTCTAGTTAAATAACTTGTTTAAAAATATTTGTGGCTATGGTGTAAGAGTAGTTTATCTTTACATATCGTACTTTCTAGTCTATATTTGTTTACTCTTTGGAGAGGTAGAAGGTATCTTTTTCAGAGAATTGTTCATCTTTTTATAGCTAAAAACACTTGACATAATAAATGCTTTTACAATTTGTGTCGGATATGTGTTGTCTAGAAATGATTTTTCCTATTAAAAAATGGGAATGACAACTATCTAAATTGACATCTGTCTTAGATGCATAAGGAAATAAATTGTAATGCTCCTTTTATTGAAAACAAGCCTATTAACTTGACCTGTAAAACTTTAAAGCTGTCAAGCTGTCTCATGCAGTGGGTGAAGTGAATTGGTGGCAAGAAGCAGCGAACAGCAGCGCTGTCTCATTAAGTGTTTGCTAATTTCTGAAATAAAGTTTCCTCTTATGAAAAGTGACAAATAGCTTTACCCTTTATTTCAGTCCTTGTTTGTGTTTGAAACTCCTAACAATGAAATGTTTCTGTTTCAGCCTCTGCTTATTAGAGGGTGGGCTGTTTGTTGGGGTTTTTTTATTTTGTGGGGTTTTTTTTTTTGTTTGTTTGTTACTATGCAGAAAAAGAAACCTTTGAAACTGAGAGAGTTTCAGGAAGCATCTATGTGGAAATGAGGCATTGGTATTTAAATATCTGTAACTTATTTTTTTCTTAAAATCTATCTCCAGGCTGCAAAAATTGAAGCAATAGTATTTTGCTTTGTCATTCTTGCTAATCTCTGCCTTTCTTCTTGGTAGAGCATAGAGAAGAGCATCATACAGCTATAGTCCTTGGAAAAACCCAGATAATCAAAACAGAAACTTCTGATGGCAAAAGTGAATCTCATTCCTTGGAGGAAAGCCAGAGATCAGTCTCTCCTGCATTCTCACTCTCATCTGATTCAACAAGCAGGTTGGTGAAGAAGAGTCTCTTCTCCCTGGTTTGTACTAGGTTAGACCAAACATGGAAAAACTTTGCCAGTAACCTCAAGCAATATATATATATATCTGACTTCCTAGGATGGGTTCCTAATCTGTGGTTACCGATTCATTCTCTTCCCTGTTTCTGGCTGTTCAGTTGTTTGAGGGATGGAGCTGAAATAGATTCAGAATTCCTTTAATAGTTTTGTAGTGACTTGATAGAGGGGTGGCAGTGTGAGTATTCCTTTTGATTCAGAAACAGTGACTGGAATGTCTGTGGAACCAGGAAAAGGTTTGGTGTTTCTTTTCCACTGCATCATCTTCCCTTTTGTTTGAAGCTTTATTTAGAGAGGTCCAAAATATTTATATAGTGTCTTTCAGTAGCTCTTTGAGTGTTGCTGTAAGAAATAGAGTTTAAGTGACCCATGATTTGCAGTCAGTGGTAGAATGCTACTGAACCTTGAAGTCCTGACAGCCATTCACTTTTCTTTTTTCATGCATTTAGCTTTGCTTCCTGAAATTGCAAATAAGTGGTTTCAGAAAATGAAGGATTCAGGAAGGCTTTATAAATAATGTAAGATTTTATGCCTTTGATAGCGCAATGATCATTTCATTGGAAGGACACTCAGCTGTTACTGCTGATAAGATCTGTCTAGCTTCTGAAGGTTGTGTTTGTATCTAAGATCTTCATGGATCATAATTTGTTATCTACTACTTCAAAGATGACAAAGATGAATATTGAGATAAACGTCCTATTGCTATACTGGTTGCTGTGGCCCCAGTCTATGGAGGACAAGTCATTGAAAACAAATACAGGATAACTGTTTTTTGATATGTGTCTAAAAGCAAGAGAGCTAATCTTGAAAATAATCTTGCTGTCTTGTTGATAACAGAAATGAGAGGAGAGGGCACCCTTTTCAGGTCCGCATTACTAGGAATAAAAAGGTTTCCTTTGTTTAGAAGTAGAAGATAATCAGAGGAAGTAGGTGAAGGTCAACAGCTGAGCTAGGCGTAACATTCCTTAATTTCTCACCCATTACACCCATGGTGTGTGCCTCTTCCTCCTTGTTCTGCACATATTAAGAATAATATACTGGTTGGTTTCATCCTTGTTTATTAAAAGAACAATTTAGTTGTTGAAAAGTTTAACAGGGACAAAGTTTTCTAAATTCACTTTGGTTCACAAAGAGTTTTAAAAAGTCAGCATGGGGATTAAAGATGTAGCTTTTCACAAAGGTAAATATTAAACTGTGAATGAAAGCCTAGGAAGACATAGGAAAGAGATTAACTCAGGGATTAGAGAGCTCCAAATGTTAAATGTCCTTGTTTTATATGAACAGGTTTTGCTGCCTGTTTCCATTTACTTGAACTAAAGGGAGCATATAGTAAAAGTTTGTCTGTAAACAGCAATATGCTGGCTGGGCCGGTCACTTATGTGGAGGCACAAAGGGTCTTTGTGGCTCTTTCAAAATACCATTTACGGTTTTGTTTGGCTTCAAGCTTGTGTTATATACGAATAAAGTTGTTCCCCTCCCGGTGGCTTTTCCCCTCTTTATTGTATGTGTCTTTCTGCCTGAATTGTTACTATAAATTTGATAAATGTAGCATTTCATTGTATCCACTGTTTAACAACAAACCCATTAAGGTTACTGATGTACTAGTTTTGTCTGCGGTTCTCAGGACGTCGTGCAAATGATGATAGTTTTTCCTCGGTAATCTCTTTACTTATAGGGTCCAGTGCTCTGGACTCATGGAGACTTGCACGTTGCAATACCTGATATTTGAGCGTCTTATTTTCAGGTCAGGCCTTCAGAGCAGAATCCACAGGTCTCAGTAGGACACGCTGAATCACAGGGGCTGGGCGACCCGCTGGTCCATCCCCGCCCAGAGCGGGGTCAGCCGGAGCAGGCTGCTCAGGACCGTGCCCCGTCAGGTTTTAACAGCTCTGGGGACAGAGACTCCAGGCCCTCCCTGGGCAACCTGCTGCAGCGTTTGACCACCCGCACAGCACAGAGGCTTTTTCTTATGTTTCGTGGGAATTCCCTGTGTTTCAGTTTGTGCTGGTTGTCTCTTGTTCTGTCAGTGGATGCCACTGGGAATAGACTGTCGTCTTCGCTCCCTCCCATCAGGTGTTGCTGTGTATTGGTAGGATCCCCTCGAGCCTTCTCTCCTGAAGGCTAAACAGTCCCAGCTCTCTCAGCCTCTCCTCTGAAACCTCAGAAGAGTTGAGGGTGTTGGAACTGGCTTTGTGTGAAGCAGCATGCCGGGCAGTGAGTTGGAAGGACTTGGTGCTGGACCCCACAGGTCAGATTGTCTTTGAACTCTGCCCGTGGCAGCGTGCAGGTGCCTGGCTTAGCAGCGGTGCCTTGTGATCCACAGCCAGAGCCCTCTTGATTTTAAGCACTGAAGCCCTTTTCGAAATGGACCAAGAACTAAGCCCTAAGCTGGAGGGGGAGATGCGTCTCCTGCCGGGCTCTTGCAAGCTTGCACTGTGAGGGTTGTGACCATCTCTCTTTGAAGCTGCTCCACTCAGGATCCGTACTGAAAGATGAAATGGGCCTGGGAAAACAGCTCCTCAGGGCTCACTTAGAAGGGAAGACACCAGCCCTGTGGCTTTGTTCCAGAGACTGGGTTTGTACTCCTGAAGCCTCAGCTGTCCAGTTTGCAGCTTGGGCCGTGGCCGCTCTGCCGTGGCCAGGCAGTTCTGGGGAAGCAGCCGGATCCTGACGCGGGGCTGGGGGCGGTGGCGGGCAGGAGCCCGGGCAGAAGCTCTCCCCCAGGGTAGTGCAAGGTCTGTACGAGCTGTCACGTTTGACGGGTGTGCAGGTGATGGAGGGACCTGCTTCATCCTCACCGTGCCTGCTGCTGCAGTCGCCCTTGAGCTCTGATCGTTATTTTGGTTTCACAAAATAAATGCCTTCAGCTTGGCTCCTCATCCAGAATTTAAACAAGGTGCTCCTGTTCTTCCCTATTATACTTTTTTTTTTTTTTTTCCTGATTGCAAATTAACCTTTTGGCATTAAGGGCCTTGGAAAGCTTGGAGTTCTAATCTTACAGAGCGCGTTCTTGGGAGGTAGAAGGGGCTTGTATTAGCTCATCCAAGGTATCATTAAATCTCTATTTCCCTGCCAGTTTGGTGTGTGAACAATGTTGAGAATGATTCTCCCCATGGCCTCTAACATCAAAGTACAACTTTTATTCTTTACCTTTTTCTGTCTGCAGGCTTGTGTGTATCAACTTAAAGTCTGGATGAAAGTGTGCCTAAGAGACTGTAAGAAAGCTTGCTAAAGGATATTAGCATGTGGCAGTTACTAATGATCTGAATGTGCTTTCATGAACCAAGTTGGCAGATTTTGTTGGACAGTGTGCATTTGTTTGTGCTATGTCTGGCTCAAGGCAGAGTTGTTTATTCCTTCATTTCACACATTCACTCTCTCCAAATGAAATATTTCCAAAGACTTCTTGAATCAAACACAGAACCTCTCAGTTGTACAGACCAGTGGATATGTATCACAGATATTTGGACCTTCTTTCAAAAAAACCCATGCTTAATAGCTCCCTGTGGTTTACTCTTAAATTCAGCTCCTGTGGAACAGGAACAGAATTACTAGAGTCTGCACAGAATTGTTTTTTCAGAATCTCTCTGGGATTTTCTCTTCACTTTCCTACTTTGTGCATATCCCCTGGTTTGTATGTGTGGTATGGTTTCTATTTATTTTTCTTTAAATATAGGGCAGTTTGCTTAACCTTGGAAGCTAGCTACTGCAATGATCAAGAAGTTCAACAAAGTGGTGGGAGTTTTTTGTTGGTTGTTTTTTTTTGTGTGTGTTTTGATTTTTTTTGTGATCAACCCCCCCACATGCCCCTTACGTTGTCTAATTGGCAGTTGGGCTCTGGGGTGTGCCTTAGGGCATTACATACACACTGTAGATTCTCATCCTTTACATCCAAACTTGTTTTTGTACTCAGAGAAGTGAAAAGTGAAGATAATACATCGTGTCCTGGGTTGAGTGAATGGTGGAGTTTTTTTGGTGGCAGGGGAGGGGGCTATCGGGGCGGCCCCCTGTGAGAAGCTTCTCGAAGCTCCCCCAGCTCCAAGCCAGCTCCACTTCTGTTTGGAAACTGAGCCCATCAGCTGCGCCTCTGCCAGAACGTATTTAAGAAGGGACGTGGTGACGGGCAGTGGGACTGGTGAGGAGGAGTTGCTGCAGCTGCATGAACACCAAGGTCAGTGGGGGAACGGAGGAAGAAAGGAGGGGGGAGGTGTGCCGGAGCAGAGACCCTCCTGTATCCTGTGGGGAGACATCAGGGCGGCCCCCCCTGCCACCCATGAAGATCTACGGTGGCGCAGACATTGATTTATGGCCTGTGGCTTCTGCTCAGATGATCAAGGTTCTGTGCCCGAAGAAGGCCGGGGTCTTGTGGGAAAAGGCAGCCCCGCTGCTGTAATTCAACACTGGGAGGATTGCAGCATGCGGGGGGTCCCACGCCGGAGCAGCTCGGGAAGGGCTGCAGCCGTGGGAGGGAATCCAGTCGGAGGAAGTTAGTGACCCACGACGGAGCAGTGTGGGGAACGCTGCGGCCTGTGGGAGGGACTCATGTTGGAGAAAGTTTGTGGAGGACTGTCTCCTGTGAGAGGGGGACCACGATGGAGCAGGGGGAACAAGTTTCGGACACTCCCCTCACCGAAGATAAGGGAAGTGGCAGCGCTGACTGCACCCCCCATTCCCTGCCCCTGCGCCACTGGGGGAGGAGGTAGAGATATCAGGAGCAGAGCTGAGCCCGGGAAGAAGGGAGGGGTGGGGGGAAGGTGTTCTCAAGATGGGGCATTGCTTCTCACTGTCCTACTTTGTTATGTGTTGTTAGTGTCTGTAATAAATGTATGTTCTTTTTTTTTTTTTCTTCCCCTAACGAGTCTGCCTCTTGCTCGTGACCATAAAGGGGAATTTTTCCCCATCCCAGTCCTATCTCAAACCCCAAGCCTGGCTCTCT